TAACAGAGAAAGATACTAGTGGATAATTTCTCCAATGGTGGTTACATGCAGAAGGATAAGGAGGAAGACCTATGGAGGGGGGGAAGCTAACATGTATTAAGAATTTATACAGGGAACAGTGGTGCATGCCTGTAATCTCAGTAGCTGGGGAAGATGAGACAGAAGAATCATGAGTTCAAACCCAACTTCAGCAAAGCCCTAAGCAACGCTGCCTGCCTCTAAATAAAATATTAAAAAGGGCTGGGTATGTGACTCAGTGTTTAAGCACCCCTGGGTTCAGTCCTTGGTATCAAAAAAAAAAAAAAAGAATTTATTATTTATCTATCTAATAATTTATCCCTTGATCCTCTGTCATAAATGTTCATTCAGTTATTCATTCATTCTGCAAATGATCTCTCAAGCATTTCTTATATGTCAGGCAATGTTAAGAGGCCCTGCAGATAAAATGATAAGCAACCAGAACTCACTCTGGAACTCACTATCAAATGGTACAGACTGCATAATATTATCCTGTCATAAGAGCTATGAAAGGAAAAGTACAGTGAACTATGAAAGAACGTTAGCAGAGATACTTAATCAAATTGGACAGGAGGGGAAAAGGTAAAAGGATTTTGAGGGAACTCTTCCTTGAAGAGGTATATGTTAAGATTGAGCTGGCATTAAACAGATATAAAAAGGGAAAGGATAGTTGTAAGAATCAAAGGCAGAAAAAAAAACAGGATATATAAAAGCAGAATCACCGCCAAGAGATTAAAAAATGTGATTTGGAGCAAAGAAAGATAGGGAGTCTCTAACACTGCCTAAGCAACAAAAATAATTGCTTCTAAGTTCTTTTGATTCTAAGATGATAGTGTTTCCTAATAATTTTATATTCCTAAACAGTAGACACTCTAAATTTTATTTATACATTAATGCCATAATTAACAAAGACTTTTTGGCAATAGAACATGGTATAAATCATAAAATACAGCACATGAAGAACCAAAAGACTGTACGTAAAAGGGAAGAAAAATGTTCAGAACTTATTTAAAATATTTTATATAAATCAATTACAGTCAACAAGTGTTCCACCTATGAAGGAGAAAGGCATTTACTTCACTATTTGACTTCTAATATCTATACAAAAGTAAGCAATGTTAGTATCATTAAATGAACCTCCAGAAGAATAAACATGAATTGAGTTGGCACAGTCCCACTGGAGCCCACTGCTCCTTCACTGTAACCAGTCAAGTGCAGAAGGCAATCAAGGGGGAAAGAGGGACAAGTACAAAGGGAGTTGCTAATACTTCAAGGACAAAGCAATGTTGTGATATCATTAGATTGTGGCTATTCTGACAGTGCTTATTGTAAAGTTAGAAAGAAACTCCTCAAAGGTAAAAACTTTTTAAGACTAGGGGGTTCAATGTTTAGTAATGTGGATCCTAAGATTAATAGACAAAATGTTAAATAGCCTAAGAAGTGAGAAAATGTTATAATCTGAAGCTTCAAGTTCTATTCTCACTGGCTAGGCACATGGATAAGTCATTTAACTTCTACACCTCTATTTCTTCCTCAATAAAACTCAAATATTTGATAGGCTTTACACAATCTTGTTTTGTAAATAAATAATTTACACAAAAGTTATTTTTAAATTATAAAAGTATTTTATATTAAATTCAACTAATACCATGAATATTCTATCATATTATTCCCAAATTCCCATCAATAATGCTGTCCATTCCCACACAATCTGAAATCCCCAAAGTCTGCCTGACAGCTCCCCTGAAAATTCACTTCTATATAACATCACAACATTTACTGGTCCCCAGTTATAATCTCCTCCCCTTCTGTGTGGGAACATGCATGCACAAATTGCCTGCTGTCTTCCACTGTCATGCCAGTATCCTTGATCCTCAGAAGATAACCCTTATGATCATTAAATTCAACAAACCCCTGGGGAAAAGTTCATTAACATGTCACCTTGACATCTATCTGCTTCTGAAAAGCCAGCAAGGGTAACCTATGCTTCCCATAATTCTTGATCTAGAAGGGTTTAACTATTCAGCCCTTTAGTGGCAGAGGCGCGGGCGGGGCTGTGCACCACTGGTGGCAGAAGGCAGCAGTACTAGGAATTGAACCCAAGGGTGCTATATCCTCAGTCCTTTTTGAGACCTGGTATAACTAAGATGCTAAGGCTGGCCTGAAACTTGTGATCCTCCCTTCAGCGTCAGCAGTAGCTAGGATTACAGACCTGCACTATGGTGCCCATCTCCTTTAAAATTAAAAATCAAGAAAGACTCCCTTTTTGTCTCATTCCATAAGATGTTGCAGTCACAAAAATGAAAGAAAAGCAAATATAATCCTTGCTTACTTGCTCATTTATTCACTCTGAGCCTACTCTCTGCTGAATAATATTCTAGGCATCAGAAATACAGCAGAGATTAAAAAGAAGAAGATGGAAATTCCAGCACCAAAATAAAATTCTGACAGCACAGGAAAAAGGCAACAAGGCGAACTGTATAGTAATGTATATTACAGTAGACTATGATAACAAATAAAAAAAACTAAAGAAGAGGGGAAATAAATATCAATGTATATGTGTACTTTTGTAAGCACAGGCAAAAGACGGGGAAAAAATTAGACACTGTAGCCATGAAAGTGCTTGCTAAGAGACTAATATTTCATAGAATCTTGACAGACTATTAATAAATTATTTGAGACTTATTTATGATTTGCCTATAACATCAGTCATACACACAAAGATACACAAAAGTGTGCACACACATTCATTCTCCCTCCCTCCCCCCACACCCCACTCCTCTATAATTTAAATCTTGTTGCATGGCATAAGATTAATCAAGTTCATATTAAAACTGGCTTTAAGAAAATACTATGAGCTCTCTAAACCATATCATAAATACCTAAGCTACGAATGTGTGTGGTAGTTCCAAGGTGGATGGAAAATTTAAATTTAAAACTGCCCTAAATAATATATTTTAATGTAGCTTAAGTATAAGCACTTTATAGTTTAGGATTAAAACATACTCCAAGTAATATTTTCTAAGCACCATATAATTACATTAAAATTTTACACAATATCACCAAACCAATACTAATGTTGAAGACTAGGTGAATTTTCTTACCAGCAAGAAAAATTATGTCACTTTACCCTCAATATAACAGATACTTTTCTTATACCAGTGTACTTTTAGAACCACATAAAAAGTAAAAAAATGAAAATACAACTTTATGAACCTAGGAATGCACTGAAATTGCAAATAATAATATGAATATTGTAAGGAGAAACACATTATTATTTAAATATGCTGAACTCATTATTTATTCTGTTTATACAGCAAAAAAAAAAAAAAAAATACAAACCCTAGCCCAACTCAAGAGTATGGCAAATTCAAATAAGATTTGTACATTCTCAGATATAAAACTTACAAATTTATGGTCTGGTCATTTTGATGCATATCTTAATAATTGGGTAACCTAAACGCAAAACCTACTAAAAACTACTATGTGGATAATTAAATAAAGAAATTTAGTAAACTGCATATTTAAGAAACATGATTAAATACACATTATCAAAAGCAGAATATTTAAGCACCAATCTCTTCTCCCCAGAATGAGGGGAGGCAAGCCACATAGCCAAATGCAATTCATTTTCTGTTTTTTGTAAATAGCATTACCTTGGAACATAATCATATCCATTCATTTCTGTCAATAGTTAATTTTGTGCCACTACAGCAGAACTTAACAGTTGAGATAAGAGACTATAAAGTACAAAAAAGCCCAAATATTAGCTATATGGCCTTTTCATAAAATATTTACCAATCTATGTCATGAAGATAGGTAAAATCTTCTATCCATAGCACAGTAGTGGTATGTGTTTTGGCCTCATCCTAACAACATTGTTTCCTTAAAATTCCATACCATTCTCAATAGGACATTCTCAGGCTGGCTTTCCAAATACTGCTTTCCACTTTCTAATGTGGATGCCATTCAGCTACAAGTGATACTGCAACAAAACTTATCTTCTCAATATTTTTTGTATTCCTGAATATGTGCATTCTTGCAATGCTTCAGTATTTGCCTTCAAGAATCATTGTCTACTTAGTTACAAATCGTTTTATACTTTCTACTTTGAACTTAGTAATGTTTAACATACTCTGTATAAGCAGCAGTACTTGTTGAATATGTTAATGGAATTATACTCTTAAGCAACTATTTGAAACCATTCACTGGCCAACTAATTCTAAAGAAAAATTCACACCCTTTACCCTAATAAGAAACCTCTATAGCAATATTTCCTATTTATAGCATCAATGACTGACTACCTTTGCTTTACTAACCACATACTGGCGAACTGAGCTCAAGGTTGATGTAGGTCTCTACCTATCATACCTTCTTTCTTTCCTAGTCTTTATTGATCTTTCTGATATCACTTATCAACACAAGAGGTATGGCTATACTAATAAGAGTTGAATAAAATGAAATTAATTCTAGATAAAGTACCAGTAGGAAAAAATGTAACTCTAAGAAGTGATATCATAACATCTGATAGACTTTGTTTTTCTATAAATATGAACCTGAGGTTAAGAGATATATATAAAGCTAAATTTTCTCATATAAAAAAATCTTTATTGTTATAAACACATTTCAATTACAAAAAATAATACAAAAATGAACTGGGGATGTGGCTCAAGCGGTAACGTGCTCACCTGGCATGCACGGGGCGCTGGGTTCAATCCTCAGCACCACATAAAAATAAAATAAAGATGTTGTGTCCACCGAAAACTGAAAAATAAATATTAAAAAATTCTCTCTCTCTTTCCCCTCCCCCCCCTCTAAAGAAAAATAATAATACAAAAATACTTCATTTAAATTTTGGAAAAGTACAATCGCAGAGACCATCCCAATGAACACAAATTACTTCTTTTAAAAAGCACATTTTTTAAAAGCCTTTCTGGAAAAGTAAATGCAAAATGAGGGAGTAATGACAGATTTGTACTTACCAGAATTATGGCAGTAGTCCATATATTGTGGAACTTGGACTGTGAAGGCTATCAAATCTGGAGCTAAGAGAGATTCTGGCTTTCTACTCTCATTGAGCCACTTGGTGCTATGAAGGTCTTTAGTGTCAGAAGGACCCTGAAGTAAGGGAATCAACTTCTCTTTTCCACTGTCACCTGAATAGAAATATTTATTGAAAAATATTTATACAAATATTTATTGAAAGAACAAGAGCCAACAACAAATCTTATTGAGTAAAATATAGCAGTAACTTGATGATGTTTATACCAAAATATCAATTATATTTGGTAACTTTAGCTATAATTAGTTACAAGGAATTGGTCTGATAAAAGCATTTTTAACTCTTTGTAATGAATACAGAATAAGTTCAGAAAATTTTGTGAAAGAAAACAACATGAACGCATCATCTTTTAAAAAATTCAATAAATCTTTACCATAACAAACTTATCTTGAAATTTAGTTTGTGCTAAAATAATTATGCATAATTTAAAAAATAAATTATGAAATGAAACATTGGGTGAAAGCCAAAGTCAATTATTAGTCGAAATTTAAAGACAACTAGTTTTGTGTTTAATCCTACCAGAGCAACATTTTAATTTAATGTTTGTCACATTTAAGTCCAAATTCCCAAAGTTTAAGCAAATATTCCTTCAAGTTTTCTCCCTCATAAACATTCTTAAACTACACAAGTATTTTCTCCTTAAATAAAAATTAATTTGGTAAAAGTCAAGAAGTATCATCCTGGCACTATTAAAATTTTTCAGTAAAGATTATTTAAAAAAATTAAAACCTCTGATTCATAGGAACAATGAGTAAATTCTTGTTTCAATAACGCTCCTTGTAAAATGCAAGGCCAATTCTCCTATACAGGCAATAAAGTTTTACACGGTCCAGCTGCACATACCTGGGGCTTTGGCACAAATTTTTATTGATCCCATGGTCCCAGAGGCACATTTGACCAATGATGTGCTGCAGTACTTCAATTCAACATTCTGGATTGAGCCCTCAAGAGTTGGCAGGGGATTCTTAGATTTCACACCTAATAAAAGAAAACTGCAAATGTACTAGCCGATTGAATTTAAATAATTTTTATACTCCTTCACCAAGGCATTTAAACTTAATTATACTTTAATTATCTACCTCAGATGTTCTTACAGTATTTGTGTTAGGTTTCAGAGTTCAATGTTTAAAAGGTGAAAGGATGCAGTTTTAAATAAAGGGGCTGAACTCTCATAACTCTACTTATGCAGTCAGCTCTTGATAAGTTGAGGATGAGAAAAAGTAAATGTACAAATATTTACTTAAAAAACAAGAAACATTTAAAAAATAATATTTGGCTTTAAAATATGCAATATGATTTTTCTTTTTAAAACAAATTTAACTTATAAATTGAGTTTCATTTTGGCAGGAGCACCGACACAGGAAACTACTGCGGTAAATAAAATGTCTTGGGCAGATGCAGTGTGAGACAGAAACAAAACAGGTCAGAAAAGTTCTTAGGTTAAAATGCAACAACTTTATAAGCAGAATGGAAGCAAAGATATTTTTACCAAGTAACCAAAAAGGTAGATATTAACATCTTTATTGAGTGCTGTTCAAGTGAAGCTAATAATTACCATTATTTAAAAAAAAAAAAAAACAATAGTGAGAAAACTTTTGAAAGAAAGAACCTCATTTTGGTCATAAAAGATAGGTGACAATTATACAGGCAGACAAACATATAGAACATTATCCTGACCATACTAACAAACACTAAAATGATGAGAATGATGATGACCTCTAAACAATTAACATTCCCTCAAGTCTTACTATGTGTTACACATACAAACTCATTCAATTCTCAGAAAAAGAATATAATAAAATGATAATACGCATATTATCATCCTCATTTTACAGAAAAGGATACAGTGGATTAGAGGAGTTTTCTAATTTTTGCCTAAAGTACTATAGTTAGTAAGAGAAACGGCAAAGCTGTTTAACAAGGTCTAATTTATCACAGAAGACTTTTGCCTATTTTCACAAACACCCAAGAACATAATTGTCTTTTCTTCCCCATTCTACATTTTGACTTAATATACAATACTAACCATCATATTTGAGGATTCTTTGACTATACAGGAACAATTAAAAACATAAACTTTCTCTGATATATTAAAATTATTCTAAAAAAACTTTGATTTCAAACTTAAATGTACTCAGAAAGACCCATAAACTCTCCAAGAGATTATGACAGCGTATTCCTGAGAAGTAGCCCTGGAATATATGATTTAACGCACATACTAAATGATTTGCAAATGGTTATCAGCTAGTCTTGAAAAAACAGCTTCTCACATACTAACTCTAATTCTAATTAATTGACTAATTTTCATTTGTAATAATATATTTGTGCATCAACTGGTAGCTAGTTTCCAGTAGTCTAGGCCAGTGTTCTATGTAAAGTAGTACCTATCATCAAAGAAGGAATACTGAATGGAGATCTATGACAGAATTCAATGATTCTATGAAAGATATAAAATGGTATCTAAAATGCTAAGTATTTATGCATTTTTCTTAAGCATTTTTACCAGTCTTGAAATCATGACTTGAAAAACGTAATAACTCAAAAAATTAAATAATGCAATAATACTCATAGTAGTACTAGTTATCAGGACATCTAGCCTTGAGTGCCATGCAGTATGCTTAGTTCTCTCTCTCTCTCTCTCTCTCTCTCTCTCTCTCTCTCTCTCTCTCACACACACACACACACACACACACACCCATAGGTAGCTGTTATATATATATATATATATGAATGAAGGCTTAGAGAAATATAGATTGTGCGATTTTGCCAAAGACTTGAGTCATAAAGTGTCAAGGCATAGTTCACATTTGCTCTTGTAACAAAGGATGCTGAGCTACCCTACATATTTAACATCTACTGTGAATGCAGGGAGTTATAATCAGAGGATGCTCTAATCACTATGCTAAGGATTAAAGGATACAGAGCTGAATAATATCTTCACCTCATTCAAGCCTCACAGACTCTCAATTTACAGATTTTTTTTCAAAAATATAGGAAATCTATGAGACAATCAGGAAGCTACTAAAAGATTCTCTAGAGTTACTAACAATGTTCACAACCAAAGAATTCATCAGTGTGTGCAAAAGAATATGGATATAACAGATCTTTTTTAGTGATTTTATGATACTAGTGCTTTCACAGTTTACAAACCTTAGGATTCTACTTTAAATCATGAATGAGAGGTCTTTGTTAACATCTCATGAAGACTATGTGCGTACTATTAAAAGAAGTAGCCTGATAGCTCCTCTGATGAGAATCTTGTATACCTGTATGCAAGGCATGTTGGTTTAGACTAACACTGTCAAGATTCTGAACCACTTGCAAACCATTTAGTATGTGCAAATCATCAAGTATGGATGCAAAAATTCTTAACAGAATTCTGGAAAATCACATACAAAAACATAAAAAAAGATAGTGCACCACAATCAAGTGGGATTCATCCCAGGAATGCAAGGTTAGTTCTACATATGGAAATAAATAAATATAATTCATCAAATCAATAGACTTAAAGAAAAGAATCATATGATCATCTCAACAGATGCAGAGAAAGAATTTGAGAAAATCCAGCTCTACTTCATGTTCAAATCACTAGAAAAACTAGGGATAGTAAGAATATACCTCAACATTGTAAAAGCTATCTATGTTAAACTCAAGACCAACATCATTCTAAATAAAGACAAATTGAAAGAATTTCTTCTAAAAACTAGAATAAGATAAGGATGACTTCTTTCACCACTTTTTTTAAGATGGACACAATATCTTTACTTTAATTATTTTATTTATTTTTATGTGGTGCTGAGGATCAAACCCAGTGCCTCACACATGCCAGGCAAGCAATGTATCACTGAACCACAAGCCAAGCCCCTCTTTCACCACTTTTACGCAACATCATCCTTGAAAATCTAGCGAGAGCAATTAGACAGAAGAAAGTAATTAAAGGGATACAAATAGGAAAAGAAGAACTCAAAGTATCACTATTTGTGATGACATGATTCTATATTTAGAAGACAAAAAATTTCACCAGAAATTTTCAAGAAATAATAAATGAATTCAGCAAAAGTAGTAGGATACAAAATCAACACCCATAAATCAAATGTGTTTCTATACAACAGTGATGAATCCCCTGAAAGAAAAAATATTTTAAAAACTACTCCATTCACAAGAGCCTCAAAAAAAAAAAAAAAACCCAAAATATTTGGGAATCAATATAACAAAGAGGTGAAAGATCTGTACAATGAAAACTATAGGACACTAAAGAAAAAAACTGAAGAAGACCTTATAAGATGGAAAGATGTCCCATATTCTTGGATAGGCAGAATTAACATTATCAAAATGGCCATTCTACCAAAAGTGTTATACAGATTTGATGCAATTCCTATTAAAAACCCAATGACATTCTTCATAGAATGAGAAAAAGCAATCATGAAATTCATTTGGAAAAAGAAGAGACCCAAAATAGCCAAAGCAATCCTTCACAAGAAAAGTGAAGCAGGAGGAAATCACAAGACCAGACCGTAAATTATACTACATAGCCATAGTAACAAAAAATGGCATGGTATTGGCACCAAAACAGATACTAAGACCAATGGTACAGAATAGAAGACAGAGACAAACCTAAAATGAAAACAGTTATCTCATTCCAGACAAAGGCATCAAAAACATAAATTTGAGAAAATAGCCTCTTCAACAAATGATGCTGGGAAAACTGGAAATCCATATGTAGCAAAATGAAAATAAACCCCTATCTCTCACCCTGAAAAAAAATCAACTCAAAGTAGATCAAAGATGTAGGCATTAGAACAGAGACCTGAGCCTACAAGAAGAAAAACTACACCCAAATCTCCACCAAGTCAGCTTAGAAAGTGACTTCCATAACAAGACTCCTATAGCACAGAAGTAAAATCAAGAATCAATAAATGTGATAGAATCAAACTAAACAGCTTCTTCACAGCAAAGGAAATAATCAATAACATGAAGAGAGAGCCTACAGAATGGGAGATCTTTGACACCTGCTCCCCAGGTAGAGCATTAATGTCCAGGATACACAAAGAACTAAAAAAAAAAAAAAAAAAAAAAAACTTAACACCAAAAAAACAAATAACATAATCAATAAATGGGCAAAGGAACTGAATAGACACTTCACAGAAGAAGAAATACAATTTATTGACAGATATATGAAAAAATGTTCAACATCTTTAGCAATTATAGAAAGGCAAATCAAAATAGCACTGAGATTCCATCTCACTCCAAAATGGCAATTATTAAGAATACAAGCAACAAGAAATGTTGGCAAGGATATAGGGAAAAAGGTATATTCATACATTGCTGATAGAACTGCAAGTTGGTGCAATCACTATGGAAACCAGTATGAAGATTCCTAAGAAAACTTGGAATGGAACAAATATTTGACCCAGTCATTGCACTACAAGGTTTATAACAAAGGACTTAAAATCAGCATACTACAGTGACTCAGGCACATCAATGTTTATAGCAGCTTAATTCACAATAATGGAACCAACCTAGGTGCTCTTTATCAGATGAATGGATAAAGAAACTATGGTATATATACCCAATGGAATATTATTCCGCCTTAAAGAAGAATGAAATTATGGCATATGCTGGTAAATGGATAGAACTGGAGACTATTATGTTAAACAAAATAAGCCAATCTCAAAGAATTGAACACTGAATGTTATCTCTGGTAGGTGGATGCCAATTCATAATAACTGGGGGAAGAACAAAAGTAATGTGGACTAGATAGAGGGGAGTGAAGGGAGGGGAGAAGGTATGGGGGTGGGAATGATAGTAGAATGAATCTGACATTATTACCCTATGTGCATACATGATTACATGACCTGTGTACATCATACACAACCATACAATGGGGAAGTTACACTCCATTTATGTATGATGTCTCAAAATACATTGAACTGTCATGTCTAATAATAAAAAAAATTTAAAAGAAGTCAGCTCTACAT